TCAGAGACCAAAGGCTGATGGAGCTCTGGGGATGAGCAGCATTTATGGGAAACCACAGATGGAAGAGCCAGCGACGGCAGACTGCAGATGGGAGGAATGAGAGAGACAAGCAGCCAGGCACGGAGGAGGCTGGGCAGAGGGCAGAGCGCAGAGGGGAGTGGGGGACGGCTGCCTACCCGGTTGAGAGCCATCTGGTAGATTTCTTCGGGCGAGTGGCCCTTCTCCCTGGGGCGCAGTTTGTAGCCCAGCTTCTCAGGCATCTTCTCCACCACGTAGTTCCGCAGCTTCAGGTTGTTCACTTCTATCCACGTGTTCTCATCGTACTGAGTGAATTTGGTCAGGTTGAGCCCCAGGCTCTTGCAGAGCTCGTGGAGGATCCTGAAGGAGCCGGAGAGGCCCGTGAGGATCAGGCAGGGCATGTGTGTCGGTGTGTGTGTGTGGAGGGGGGGTCAGGGCCCCTCTCCGGGGGCTTGGGGATGGGCATGAGGCTGCAGTGGGGCTAGAGTTGGGGTCATGGGTGCTGAGGCCTGGGATGAAATGGGAACAAGGCTCAAGGCTGGAAGGCTGAAGGTGTAGCGGTTTGGGATTGTGTTTGGAGTGGGAGCTGGCTTTCACTGGGGCTGAAGTGGGACTGGGGACAGAGTCTGGGTTGGGTGGGGGCTTGTCATGGGGAAGGGACAGGATTGGGGTCTGGCGCTCTGGCTGGACGTGGTGGGGCTGGAGCTGGGAGATCTTGAAGTTAGATCAGGACAGAGGGGGAGGTGGAGTCTTGACACAACTTGATTGGGGTTTTGGGTTTGGGGTCAGAGTTGAAGTTCAGCCTGGCACTGGAGTGGGGATGGAGTTGGGGATCTGGCTGAGTCTGAGCATAGCCATGGGACTGGGGGTGGCCTCGGTGCCCGCCTGGCTGCCTGGTCAGGCCTCACCTATGCGAGCTGGGCATGCGCATGGCTCCCAGCTCCCCAATCCAGCCCGTCTTCCGGTCCCGGTAGGTGAAGATGCGGCCCCCGATCCTGTTGTCTGCCTCCAGGATGGTGACCTGGGGGATGGGGGGGACAGCAAGCAGGGCCCTTCAGCTCCTCCCACTGACCCCCCCACCCCCAGCCTCCCATCCCCACGGCAGCAGAGACCTCAACTAGAGAAGGACCCCCTTCTTTATGGACAAGTGAGAGGAGCTGAACAAATGTCATAGCAAACACTTAAAATATGACACTCTCCAGACTGCAGCAGGAAGACGGCAAGCCAGATTGCAAAGGGACTTCCCAGCCCGGAAAGTGGGGAGATTTCTTGCAGGCACAGAGGTCCTGGCCCAGCCCATTCTCATTTTTGGATTTCAGTGACAGAGGCAGTGGTTAGACCTCAGGGGGCACTTCTCCTTGAGTGGAATTTCCATCTCCACCAACACAAATTCCCCCCAGGAGGTTGGAGGACATTCAGAGGGAATTCCTCAGGAATGAGAGAGAGCAGGACAGGGAAATCAAAGGCCTCTCAGCCTCCCTCTGGGTTTCACTCCCCAGACCAAGCAGCAAAGCACATCTCTTCTCCCCACTTCCTACCAGCCCCTTAACCGGGATGTAGCCAGGCCCCTATACCCAGGACTCCCAGCCTGCTGCAGGAAAGACTCAAGGTAGATGACAAGCGGCACTTCTCACCTTGTGTCCCGCATCACTGAGCACCTTGGCAGCTACCAGCCCAGCTGCACCAGCACCAACCACAATCACCCTCTGAGGCTTCGAGGTCCGATTGAGCCCCAAGGTCACAACCTTGAGCAGCACCTCGTAGTCAGGATCATGCATACATTTTTCAAAGGGATCCTGGCTGTGGGAAGTCTTCCAATCCAGGGAGGCCACCAGGCTGAGGAAGATGGAGACCAGGACGAGGAGGTACCGGGCTGGAGGGAGGAGGGACGGGGTCAGTGGGCAAGTCAGTAGGTACGTGTGGGGAGAAAATTGGGCTCCGTACCCCCTGTCCCCGTGGCCCCTTGCTTACTTACCTAATGAGGCCATAACTCTCGGTGGGAGATGGTGTCTAGTTTGGAGGGGAGGCAAGGGTCACTGTGACAGGGGCCTGGCCGCCCCTACGGCCTCATCCCTCCATCCCCATCTAGCTGTCTCCTGTTCTGTGCTCACCTATCTGCCCTTCGGTACCCCTCCCTGCACTCCTTTCTCTTCTCTCTTCCCCTCTCCTCTGCCCTCCCTGTCCCCAAGTGTCTGTTTCTGGGGGTCCCAGTCTCTGCAGCCTCCTCTCTACCTTGGCTCTCCGTGGACAGCAGCAGCACTTCTGTCCTCTGTCGCTCCCACTGGTCTGCCCCGTCCCCCTTCGCCTGTCCTTAAACCAGCTGAGCCCCGCCCTCCCCTCCCTCTGGGAAATCTGTGGCAGGGAAATGAAACTACTCTCCTGGGTTGTAGGGTCAGGTGCTCAGAGTTTAGCTGAGGCTGAAGGGGGTGGGTGGTGGGGAAGGGGGGCTGAGAGGAAACGAATCAGTCTATTTTCTTCCTTTTGCCCCAGATAGTTCTGGGGCGGTTAGAAGACCGGAAATAAATGCTCAGGTAACCATGCTAAGGGGGCCTGGTCTCGGGGTCCCTGTGTCTGCCCTTGGGGTTGCATGTTCCCTGTGACGGCCTCCGAGTCCTCCTCTGTGTCAGCTGTCGCTGTGCCCTGAAGGGCCCTTGCTGGCTCCACTCCCCTCCCTCACAGCTGCTCTGAGCCTCAGTCTCTGAGGCCAGCCTGCCGCGGTCCTGAGCCCGGTGCCTGCCTCCATGGTTCTGGTCTGCAGCTGTCAAGTGGGGGCCATTAAAATGTGGGGAGGATAAGGCACTGAGTCCAGGTCAGGCCCTGTGAACAAGCACCTGGGTCAATACTACAACTTGCTCCTTAGGAAATGCCCGCTGCTACCACCGTGGGGGGTACTGGGAGGGGCTCAAGGAGTGACCCCCTGCTCCCCAGCCCTGCACAAGGAGCAGCCCTGGATGTGTGCTCATCCATCCCATCCCTGCACCGAGATGCTCAGCTGTGGTGCTCAGCTCAGGCTAGGGTGCCGGGGGCACCTCAGCCAAAAGGCCGCAGGAACCTCTGCCTCTTTGCCTCTGGCCTTAGCCCTTACCATCCCTATATGTGGGGTGCTTTTTTCCTGAGGTCAGGCAGTGAGAAGAACAAGATGACCGGGCTCCAAGGAGTCTCTCCACTTGTGGCAGCAAGGGTCCCTCGGCTCTGGGGGCTTTAGCCAAGGGCACATGTGGTAGGTCCCCTGAAGTGGGTGGAGGTAGAAGACACAACTTGGGAGATTTTTCCTGGGGCAGGGGCAGAGGGCACCAGGCAGCTGGTGAGGAGTAAGGCCAGAAGCAGCAGATCCTCTGCAGCAACAAGATGGGAAAATCCGAAAGTGTACATCAAAGAGGGATGTGGTTTGATGGAGGATGGGGGGCGGGAGGGGAGCATGAGTCAGAAAACATGATGCGGGGGCCTGGGAGGAGCAGCCAAGAAGGAAACAATCCGCTGGACAGAGCCTTGAGCCTCGAGACCGAATGCCAAGAAAGCGAAGGGCACAAGTCAGCACAAACGGCAGAGACCGTCCCCACGGTGAGGACCCACTAAGGTGGTCCTGGCTCAGTGCTTTGCGCTCACTGTGGGCCTCACAGTGTTGCACTTGGCAGAGGAGGGATCTGAGAGATGGAGAGCGGGCAGGCAGGGGAAGACCCCAGGACTTGCCCAAGGCCTCCGAGTGGGAAGGCCTTTCCCGGGCCGCCCCTGCCTGCTTCCTTCCCGGTGACGCGGGGCATCTGAGCACCACCATGCTTGACTCTACTCACAGTAGCTGCATGAGCTCATGGCAATGATCGCTCCTCTAACCCCAGGGACCTTGTTGGAGGGCAACCCGGCCCGCTGAGGGCAAGGCTCGTGCCCCGGGTCCCACAATGGGGAATGACAGAGCCGGGGGTCCTGCTGGCCCCCGGCGAGAGGCCCATCTGGTCTACTTCCTCAAGGCAATGTCGGCACGGAGAAAGCGAGCAGCCATACCATGGAAACAGAAAGGGGTGGAGGCAGCAGAGCCATGAACTCCTGCACTTGTCTAGGCAAGAGTGTTGGTCCCCAAAACAGCTTGGGGGGCCCTGCTGGGGTCCCTGAGCCGACCCCGCTCGTTTCTCTCCCACACAGGATTTCTGTTCAAAGCCCCCTGGCTCCGGGCACACCCCTGGCTCGCCTCCTGGACTCTAAGTGAAATGCCAACTTCATGGGGCACCTGGGTGGCTCAGTCGTTAAGCGGCTGCCTTCAGCTCAGGTCATGATCCCAGGGTCCTGGGATCGAGCCCCGCATCGGGCTCCCTGCTTGGCGGGAAGCCCGCTTCTCCCTCTCCCACTCCCCCTGCTTGTGTTCTCTCTCTCGCTGTCTCTCTCTGTCAAAATAGATAAATCTTAAAAAAAGAAAAAAAAAAAGAAATGCCAACTTCAAGGCGTCAGCAGGGCAGGGAAAGGGAGGGAGAGGAACCCAACTCATGAGGCGACCCAGGGTTGGGAGCCAAGAGCGCCTGAGAGTAGGGATCCTGTTAGGGCAGGGCTCCCTATGAAATGCCTACGGGTGCTATTTACTACCACGTCCCAGATACTTCATACATTTTACTTCATTTACTCCAGTAAGGATTCTGACAAGGTGGGCTTAGCTGTGCCCTTTTTACAGTGGAGAAAACTGAGGTCCAGAGAGGTCACCAGCTGAGAAGCGGCAGCACCTGGGTTGGATCCCAGCAGCCTGGCTCCAGGCCCATGTTCTGAAACGCTTGTTCGTCAGCAGCAAGCTCGGGCTTGTGAACTAGGGAGGGGGCCAGGCCAGGGTCTGTCTGCCTCATCACCGTTGACATCTGGGGCCATCTTTGTGGGGGTCATCCTGTGCGTTGTAGGATGTTGAACAGCCTCACTGGCCTTTACCCACTAGATGCCAGTAGCACTTGTCCCTCGAGCTGTGACCACCACAAATGTCTCCAGACATTGTCAATCATTCCCAGGGGAAGGGGAGGCAAAATCACCCTAAGAACCACCGGGCTAAGCTCAGGTTGATGTTTAATGGAAGTCCCACAAGCAGCCAGCTATGGTCCAGGACAGAGACCTGGGTACAGCTGGCAGGACAAGAAATACTGGGGGCCACACAGTTGTGCAGGGGACAGGGCTCGAGCTTTACCATATTATTCTCTCTGAGGCAGTTCAAAGACTGTGAGTGGTCGCTACTAAAACTTTCACCAAGTGTCTGAGGGGGGAAGGCCTGCCCAGGGGATGCCCAGGGCCCCAGGTGGAAGTCAGGGGTCCAGACCTGGATCCGGGAGAGGCTCAGAGAGCAGAGGACAGACTTACCTGAGGCCCTTAATCTATGGCCTGACTCCCGGACAGAGTCCGCCTTCCCGCAGAGCCCTCCTGCCCCTCCTTCCCCTTTCCAGAACCCCTGGGCCCCATTGGGGGGCACTCACAGCATGGCTGGCTCTGGGAGGCTCTCTCAGCGCCCATGGCCTTTCTGGTTAGCCCGGGACAGAAGTCATCGTCGGGCGTGTACGGAAACGGGGTCAATGGCAGTAGCTTTGTCCTGATTCCCGTTAGACCAAAGGTGCCAGGGTCCTGGTGAAGTCAGAGCAATTGGGAGGCTGTGGAGGGCAGGCCCTCCCTGCTCAAAAGCTTTTTATTATGGAAATTTCAAACATACATAAAAACAGAGAGACTGGGATGATGAACCCAAGTGCATCCATCGCCTCCTAGCCCATCTTGTTTCATTTACATTTTCTCCCTCCCCCACTGCATTATTTTACAGCAAATCCCAGACATCTTGTTATTTTGTAGGTAAATACTTTAGGATGTTTCTCTAAAACAGAGGTCTACAAACATTTTCTGTAAATATTTGGGGCTTTGGGGGCCACACTGTCTCCATCTTGCCTACTCAACTCTGCCCTCCAAGTAGCCACAACATGTATAATGAATTGGCGTGGCTGTGTTCCAATAAAACTTTATTTACAAAAACAGGAAGTGGGACTGTAGTTTGCCAACCAACTGCTTTAAAAAAGATTAGAACTTACTTGCTTTAAAAAAAAACAAAACCTAAAAAAAAAAACAAAAAACAAAACCTACAATACCATTATTGCATTTAAAAATGGCATTAAATCAAAGTCCAATTTCCCTGTCTCAAAAAAATTGTTTTTTCAAGTAGGCTCCACACCCAGCATGGAGCACAGAGCGAGGCTTGAACTCAAGACCCTGAAATCAGACCTGAGCTGAGATCAAGAGTTGGGACACTTAACCGACTGAGCCACCAGGTGCCCCTCAAAAAATTTTTTGGCAGTTGGTTTGAATCAAAATTCAAATAGGAGCCCACTTTGCATTTGAGTGATACTGAGGGTCTTTGTTAGTGTTACTTTCAAGTCCCTGGATTTGGGGTCTGTGTCCTCAGAACCGAGGGATTAATGGGACCCCACAGCACCAGGCTGGGCCTGAGCCTGGCAAAGCAGCACACCAGGTCTGGTTTCTGCCATGGGGAAACCTGTGGAGGTCATGGGGTTGAACCAGGATGGTGCCTGGACGTGAGGTGCGTGCCTAGGTGAGTCACTGCTGTTTGAAGTGATTTGTGCCACTGTGTGAGGGCTGCGGGACAGGCACGGGCCGTGTGGGACAGATAAGCCTGGCTGGGGGCTGGCTTCTGAGGCTGAGGGCGTTTGTTCCCTGGGAAGTTCTGCAGAAAGCCCTTGCCCTGAGAGTCTGAGAGCGGACTTTTCAAGCACCCAAGTAATTTCAAGGTTGACTGAAAACTTGGCAGCAGTGGTGTGCTGGGCTGGCTCCTAGCAGTGAATAAGAGCTGACCGATTTTTAAGATCTTTGGTTTTGTTTTGCACGCCATTCTTTAAAAAATTGTATTTATGATTAATCTTACTAAAAATGAATTTAAATACTCAAAACTCATCATTTCCCAATCATTTGATTACATTTTACTACTATGTATACTCTTGAGGTGAACCAATTGTATCTATAGGTGTCAATTTCCCAAATTCCTGTTCAGTGACTTCACATCCGTGGCTTGCAATCAGCCGTGGTGGGAGTCTTTACACCACGGGCATTGGCATTTGCTACCCATCAGGGCTTTCCCCTACCCCGGAGAGCCGACTGTTACATTCACCAGCACACCACTGCTTGGGAATCATTCATTTCAACCTCCCCCAGGATATGAAGGGTGCTGTGGCTCTGGGAATCTCTAGCTGTTTGAAACATCTGATCCTTCTGATGCCAAGCTGTGC